GGCTCGGCGTGTCTTGTAGGTGGCCAGCACTCGAGCCGGGAAGGCTTTCCCATCATGCCCGGAGAATGACGAGACGGACACCTCCAAATCTATAGAACTCCAGAACAAGCAGATGATTGAGTGGGCCCTTGGTGGCTTCCAGCCATCCGGACCCAAGGGCCTGGAGCCCCCCGAAGGTGAGACCCCCACTACCGGCAGTGTCTGATCCAAGGGCGGTGCTGTGCTTTCTGGATGTGCTGCACAGCATGCATGTATCATGAATGTTATGGAGGGGAGGTTGTGCCATCAGCTGGTACAAAGGGACCGGTTCCCCCCGGGAACTCCGCCGACACGTAAGTAGATCTCCGGCGAGTCTCCCGCTCAGAGTGATCACAGCCGGAATTCTGGAGCGCCGCCGGTGTTTTCCGGTGACAGCAGCGCCGCCCAGTGTTCACTTCCAGGTATTGCAGCACAGAAGCGATCCCTTCTCCGAGGCCGCGGCAGTGCATGATGGGAGTTGTCTTTGTTTTCCCTACATACAGAGGAACGCAACCCGTACAAAGAGGTTTACACAGAAATGTGGGTGGAGCCGGAAGCTGCCGCATACGTCGCCCCTCCCCCTCCCGCCAAGAAACCTCGCAAAAGCACAGTGGAGAAGCCGAAGGTGAAAGAGATCATCGATGAGCGCACACGAGGTATGACCCGGGGACCCCCAAATGACAGCAACGTGTTCTGGTCCATGGGATAGTCTGTCACGTCGGGTGTGCCAAAGTGATCTTCTGTCATGGTAATGATTCAGAGGCCATTTTAGCATTCCTTAAAGGGCAACTCCGGGCAGAATGCGAATGAATCCTTGCAGCGAGGCTACCCCCGCACAGTAGGGCTACCCCCCGCACAGTAGGGCTACCCCCCGCACAGTAGGGCTACCCCCCGCACAGTAGGGCTACCCCCGCGCTCCAAGGGTTAACTGCGTGTCTTCCTCTAGGGGACCAAATAAAGAAGATATACACACCTGAGCCTCCATCCTGCAGCAGAAACCCCCCCCGTGCCCCATAGGTGGTATGTCCCTCAGGGTCCTCATACACAGTATTAGATGTGATGACTCATTAGACTGCCGGGGGCCCGGGGGACAAGAGGCTGCGGGGACCGGTCTTGCAGCCGGGTGGGCCCGAGGGTCAGACGATTGTCTTTTCTTATTTTAGCCCCCTAGACCAAAATGATCCCTTAACCCTCGCAGCGCCGGGGTAGCCCCACTGTAAGGGGTTCATCTTTATTCTGCCCGGCCTCCAAGGTGCCGTATTGCGGGG